GAGAATATTCGTGAGAGCTGGGTTGTTGGGCGAGGACGAGCCAGCAGGCGGTTTGCGAGGCAGGGCCATACCAGCAAGGTTCCCGACTTGCGTGCTTAACGCTGCCGGAACGACGGTTTGCCCCGCGCGAAAGGCGTTTTGCGCCTTGACCGCCGGAAGCGGGCCGAGATTGGCGGGTTGATTGGAGAGCTGAAGGATGTACCGATCTGGCGTGACGCCATTGGACGACGGTGGGATTGTGGCGGCCGCGGGGCCTGCGCGTCGAGTTTCGGGCGGCTGTTGCGATAAAGACAAGTCTGGTAAACCTAACGCTAAGACTAACCCTAGAACTAGAGCCAATCTAGCTCGGCGATTCATAATGGACTGGCTCTCATTCACTCATGCCTTGCCTCCAAGCAGACCGAACTTAGTTAATCCTCCACGAAAGTAATCGGGAAACGCGTTCGAACGCCTTGTTGCTTGATGCTACGAACTAGAAAGAGCAAGGGCGTGCTGTAGCTACGAGATGGAGCTGAGAAATGGGCCCGGGTGGAGGGGAAGTCCGCGGTAGTGACGGCTGGGTGGGTCGCAACGGGGTCGTTGGAGGGACAGACGGAGCGAAAATTAGGGTGAAGGCACTGAGAAAGGGCTGGGCTTGGTCGGCAGTGGGGTGGGGAAGGGGAGGGCTAATGGGTTACGTTGCTGTTAGTGAAGAGGGAGCGCAAAGCGGGCAGTAGCTCGGTTGAGCTCTTTGTCAGTTTTGTCAAATGTCGACTCAAATGCCGATCCGGTCATGTGATCGTTTCATGCATGATCGGCCAACTGGCAGCACGAAAGTGCGAGTTGGGAATACCAAGGGCGAGAGGCAAGGTTTGTGGACCAAGAGGCGTTCGTCACCGTAGCGCTAGGCTTGCTTTTCGTGAGGTGGGAGCGCGTGTGCAAGACCACTAATGCTCGCGTTATTGCGTTGGGGTTGACGCAATAAAGAGCTGCCTGCGCAATCGGCTGGCTAAGCCTGCCACGCCTGGGTCAATTACGAGAAAAATCGAGCCGCGAGGATGGAGGAGTTTTTAGTGATGGGCGGGCCTTGGTACCCCCTTCATTTACGCGAGCTGCGGTGAGAAAAGAAATCCTCCGTACTCATGGTTGCACTTGGTTGGAAGTTGAGCTTGCTGTGCGGAGGCTTCAGTTCGGTTCAGAGGGGGAGGTGTTGAATTGATGGGGTTTGCAGGGAAATGTTGAATCGGGCGATTTGAATTGGTTTCGCGATTCGAGTCTGGATTCCACGTTTCGCGCCCAGCCCTTGCTTTCCTTTTCAGAGAAAACTTTTATGTTTGAATCTAGCCTGGCTTGGTGGCTAGACGCTGCTGTCCAGGGCAGTGAAACGAAAGCGGTTCGTTGACTGCGACACGATGGCGAGCGCTGCGACTGCTGGGCGACCATGACCTCCAGTAAACGGATACATTTTGTGTCACGTGACGACGCACGAGGAGTGCCCAACCCAAGCAGTGGCGATTCGCTTAGCGAAGGAAAGTTTGGCGGGGGAGACAATATGAAGAATTGATGTGATTTGTTTGAGCGCTGCGCTCAATCTGGCTATCAGATGCGACACGGGCTTTGCCAAATCGCACCGGGCCTCCTTCAGAGAAGGTTCTGTGCAACAGTACCCGCAGTTCGTCAGTATCAGGTTACCACCCGTCGTGTCTCCTGCTTCTCGCGCACAGTTACGACTGTTTATGTGTTGTACACTTCTATTCTGGTGTATAGCTCATATAAGCAAAAAAAAAGTTACCACCCGTTGTACAATCAAGGACTCGCTCAATCAGAATTCCTGTAACAGGCTGAACCATCAAACTATACATCCAAATGGTTAGATACAAAAGCACGACCAAAATAGGTTTTTACACAAGCATTAAAAATTAGGAATATAGGCTGGTACCTAACTGGGTGAGAATGTAGATGCCCATTTTAACAGCTAAATATGGATATTTTGGTGAAATTCCTACAAACATAGGAGGTAAAACTGTAAAATGATAACACAGCCTGAACTCGAACCACAAACAAGCACCAGTATATAAATGATGGCTGCCTATTAGCGACGCGAAACCTTGCTAGTGGTGGCTAAAAAGGTGGTCGCAGAAGCCTCTTCGCCATGTTTCGTCTTGAAGCCCCCTGCTTTATGTGTTACTACCGAGGTCAATACTACTCCCATAATTATCAGCCCACCAGCAGCAACGACGTCAGACAACTCCGACGGTAAATATTAAAGTAACTAGAAGTGGAACCAGCTGCAGGCACTCCAGGGGGCGAATGTCGGAGCAGTCCCAGACTTATAGCTTATGATTTATTCGAAATTCATGGCTTATGGCAGCAAAGAGTTCCCCAAGATATACGGTAGTAACGTAATCAGCGAGCCAATGGGAGGAGTTGGCCCACGATTCACGATGGAGACAGCTGCGTGGTACCCGCACACCCAGATCAGGTATTTCATCAACTGTTGCTCAATTCGTTATCATCACCATTCATCATGTTAACGAACTCCGAGAAGCACACTCGGCCATCCCCGTCCGCGTCAACCCTGCGAATCATCCTCTCGCATTCCGCCAATGACACATCTCCGTCGTCGTTCTCATCGCCAGCACCAATTCGCAAAAGCATCTCGCGAAGTTCGTCAGGTGTGATGTAACCGTCGCCGTTTTTGTCGAACGAACGAAACGCTGCGAGGAGATCGTCCATCGACGCGGAGTCGGAATCGGGCGAATCCACGACCGCCATGTCAGCGTCGCCAGCCGAAGCCAAGCAGATTTCGCCGGCCCCAGCCTCGTTTCGGTAACATGGAATTTCCAATTCTTCCATGCTGCTTCCGCGACTGCCTGTGCTTCCGCTCCTCCCGCTGCTAATACGTGAGCCTGCGGCAACACGAACCTTGTTGACGGCGAGAAATTCGTTGAAGTCAACGAAGCCGTCACCGTCAGTGTCTGCTTGAGCCATCATCCTTCGCGCCATGTCGTCCGGTCGTGTTTCGCCGAGGCTCGCAAGAACGGAGGCCAACTCAACGGTTGAGATTCGGCCGTCGCGGTCGCGGTCCATGAGATTGAACACGTGGCGGATATCGACGGCGGAGACCCCGTGAAGCATGTCGATGAACGGTCTAGATGGTTGTGCGGATGTCCACCCAGTCGTGGTTGTAAAAGCAGCCTTGATATCAACCATAGCGGTCGGACAGCGTGCTTCTCAGAACGAAATCGCTGACGAATGAACGAACAAGTCAGAACGAGATTGTTTGAAGGAAGGACTCTAAATGGACGAACGAGAAACGATGACGAAGTCGGAACCAAAAGACGGAGCGAGATAAGGCGTGACAAAAGGGCAGTACTCTGACGAGAGAGCGATTGTGAGATTTCGTTCAGCCGTCAATTGCGGAAAGAAACGAGAAAGAAGAGGAGGTGGGATGCATTTGTGGGATGGAATTACGCGTTCGGGAGGTGGTGACGCAGCGCTAGTGACGCGTTTCCTGCACCAAGGAAGGAGAAGGTGGGCTTGAGGGAAATGGGGGGAGGAGCGGGAGGAAGGGGGGGGGGGGGGGAGGTGGTGGATGTTTCGGTTCGGAAACAGAAATCTTGGTGCTAACATCGAGTATTAAATGTTTTTGAGGGGTGATCCTGCAGCATCTTTCGTGAGAACTCTGTATGAGAATAACAAACCATTGCATTTTGAGTGACTTGATTCCTGGGATACGCATTTTTCGTGTTTGGTATTAGGAAGGCATTATAAAGCTGGGCACAGCCAGAGAGCAGCCTCCACGACCGTAGATTACACTGCGTCAAACCCGACAGCTGACTGTAAGTCATTTTCAGCCGTTCAGATCGGTGGATCGACGGCAGATTGTTGAGAAGTCTTTTAGGTCAGTCGTTCCATTCCCACGTGCTCATGAAATTGGTACATGTAGCACCCTCCTTCCCCCTCCCCCCTCCCTCCCCCTCTCTCCCCTCTTCTTGCCCCGCCCACTCACTCCCCCTCCCCAACCCCACCTTCCCAAGCAGTGTGCTGCTGGTTTCCTTCCCTTCCGTCCACCCACCACCACAAACTCTCTCAAACCCCTCACCTATGCGGCCCCACCTTCGTTTCTGTTCATGAGTCGTGACGTGACAGAACAGCAAGATGTACAGTTTCACCATGAACAAGATTGAAGACGACAATAAACCGGTAAATTCTCCACCCAATCAGCTCAGTCAGGCATGCAGAAGGAGGTCACAAAAATACCGTTACCTTTGCTTACTTTACATGAGCCAAGACCTGAAAATGCGCTTGGCGGTTTCGCCAGCCAGAAGCTAATGATGCTCCAACAGCTGCTCCGATAATCGTTTGAATTCAACACTGACGTTGCACCGGCAGTCAAACGAAGCTTACGGTAGGCATGTCTATACAGCAGATATGGTAATCATGTGTGCATGCAAGATACCGGTAGAAGCACTTGTAAGCTCTCTATTAGGAAATTCCTGAAAATATTGCCTGGCTGCTGTTTCTGACAAATTCGTGCGCCCACAGCAATATCCTTAGGTAACCAATTCATACTGTTCACTAATGTGGTAAAATTCATGGTTTTTCCAAATCCACAACCACCCTTCTGCCATGAGCAGAAACACTAAGATGGAATAAAGTTTTCCACTTGGCCCAACCTGAGAAGGTATATCCCTGGGCCGTTGACAGTATAGTTTCCCCCGAGGGGTGGACTGTTGGGGGTCAGAGGTGGGAAAATAGGGATGAACAAAACACACAACAAAAGAGGTCTGATTTGTGAAAGGTATGACATGGCACATAGAGGGATACAACACAAACCCACTTGCTCCCATTCATCTCACCCTGAACTCACCCCCCTCCCAGCAACCACCCATCCATCCACCCCTTACCATCCATGTATCCCACCACCGTCCATCCATTCATCCCACCCACCACCAGCTGCCCTCCCACCAATGCATGCCACCACCAATGCATCCCACCACTGATCATCCACTCATCACCTACCCCAGAACCCACCTGTCCCAGTCCGAGCCTCCGTTGTTGGTGACAAATTCCATTGCAGTCACTGGCAGGGTGATCACCTGGAAACACACGGGAGGAGGTGGGAGTGGGGGGGAGAGGGGGGTTGAAGGGCGAATGGATCGTGCAGATAGGAGTGAGAGAGAAGAGAGTGGGATCCGTTGTTGGTACCAGATTCCCTCGCAGTCACCAACAGGGTGAATGAAGATTGGTTTTGAGACGTCTCAAAACCAATCTTCATACGAGTGGGCTCCGTTGTTGGTACCAAATTTCCTGGCCGTCACCAACAGGGTGATCACCTGGAGAGAGAGGGGGAAGGGGGAAGAGGGTGGGAAGAGGCTGGGAAGAGGGTGGGAAGAGGCTGGGAAGACGGTATTCGAAGCTTGAAGCAATGAGCGAGACAGAGAGAGAGGCTGGGAATGAGAGCTACAGAGAGAGGGGCTGAGAATAAGAGTCACAGGAGTGTTGGACGGAAATCCCACAGCACCTCATTGAGAAACTGTCACCTTGTGAATCCCACACCTCGTGTAGCCCTCTCCTCAACCTTTAAATCCTCTCGCATAAAAACGTTTTCAGCTTGACCTTTTGAAAACTCGACGTTCTCACCTTGAGACGTTCTCACCTTGAGATGTTCTCACCTTGAGGGGCAGTCCATTCAAGCCAATGAGAGGCGAGTCGTCCATTCTTGACCCCGGCACATCAGTCCAACCGGCGCCGTCCGCACTGAAGTGCACAAACACCTCCGGCCACCCCGTCTCATAGTACAGCGTCACTCCTGCCGCCCGCTCCTCCTCCTCCACCGCCGCCCCTTCCTCTTGCTCCCCTTGCTCCTCCCGCCTTTCCTTTAAAGCTCCTTCAGAAAATGAAACGTCAGGTTCGTCACTGAGACCCTCATGCACCCCTCCCGATCCCTCTCCACCGCTCTCCTTCTCTATGTGCACCTCCTCATGTCCTTCCCCTCCCGACTCTGCCGTCTCACTGTCTCCTCCCACCGCATTCGCCTCCTCTCCTGCCTCCCTCCTTTCCGTGCTATCTGCCTTCTCTCCGTACCCTTCCTCCACGCCCCTCTCCCTCTTCTCCTCGACTCCCCTCTCCTGCTCCTCCTCAGCTGTGCTATCACTATCACCAATGTCTTCTGCTACCCCACCATCCGACTTCTCACCATTCCCCTCCTTCCCATTTCCTTCACCACTACCCTTCTCCTCCCCTCCACTCGTACCCTCCTCGTCCTCACCCCCCTCTCGCCTCTCCCCTTCTCTATGCCCTTCCCCATCCTCCTGAGTAGCTGCTTCCCCTTCAGCCCCTTCCCCTTTCATCCCCTCCTCCTCCCCGCTTTGTTGCCCTTGCCCTGGTTCACTCACCCCCCCACTCCTCTCCTCCTCTCCACTCCTCTCCTCGCCACTCCCCTTCTCGCCACTCCTCTCCTCTCCACTACCCTCCTCCCCACCTCCCTCCTCTCCTGCCTCGCTGTTACCTATCTGCACGTCAGCATCTTCTCGTGATTGGCCCACGTCAGCGTCCCCTTTTGATTGGTCCACGTCATCACTCTGTGGAACAGGGACCTCTACTGGCCTTCCTTCCCTCTCACTCTCACCCTTCCCCTCCTTCTCACTCACTTCCTCCCCATCCTCCTCTTCAACTGCGCCCCCCTTCTCCTTCTCACTCTCCTCAAGCAGTCTCCGCCTCTCCCTCTCCTCTGCCTCCCTAGCCGCCTCCTCCTCCTCTACCTTCCTCCTCTCCTCCTCCCTCTTCCTCTCCTCCTCTCTCTTCCTCTCCTCCTCCTCTTTCTTCCTCCTCTCCTCCTGCTCCCTCCTCTCCTCCCCCAATTCCACCAACCGTCCACCCTCTCGCTCCTCATACACACTCCACTCCCCCGGCGGACCCTCCTTCCACCACCCAGCCCTCACACTCACACTCCCACTACCACCCTCTCCCTGCCCTCCCGCCCCTCCCACCTCACCCCCTTCTCCCTCCCGCCCTTCCCCTTCCTCCTTCCTCCCCGCTTGCCCCCCCTTACCGTCACTCTCCCCTCTTCCCCCAGCCCCTTTCCCCCCCGCCCCTTTCCCGCCCTCCCACCCAGCAATCTCTTTCTCCATAAGCTTCCTCCCCTGCCTAGTCCACGTCTCCACATCAAACACAAGCTCCTCCAATAGCTGTACCCCCAGATCCACCTTTCCACCAATCAGCGCGCCCCGGATCTCCATCAGCCCGCCCAGCAGCCCCTCCAGCTTCTGCTGCATCATCTCCAGCCGCCACGTCAGCATCTGCGCCCGGATCTCGATCGACTTCTTGTCCTTTCTAAGCTTCGCGATCTCCCGCCCTAACACGTCAGCAACGCGCTCTAGCCGCACGGAGGTGGCCTGCTCCGCCTCCTCCGCCCGCGCTACAGCCGCCTCTAGGGATAAGATCCTCATCATTGCGTCTGTCAGGCTCATGCCACGTGTCATCGCCTCAACAGGCGCCAATCCTCCTATAACCCCGCTTCCCCCGCTTCCCATGCTATTTCCACTGCCTAACACCTCTCCTCCGTCCCCTACCGCTCCTGCTGCTCCCCCTGCTCCCGCTGCTCCCCCTGCGCGCCCTTCCCCCGCCTCGCTCCGCCCGAGCGTGCCCTTCCTAACGAGCGCGTCTAGCGTGGCGACCATGGCTGCGCGCTCCTTCTCCCACTCCTCGCGCCGCACGCGCAGCTCCGTGTCTTTGATCTCCAGCTGCGACAACAGCTGCTTAGTCCGCCTGCGCGCGCGCACCAGCTCCGCCTGCACGTTGCCCACTGCTGCCCCCACCACTGCTTGCACATCGTCCACCGAGAGGCGCCCGCGGATCGACGCTGCCAACTCGTCCGCCTGAAACGAGGGGGTTGGGAGGGAAGCAGAAGGGGGGACGAGGACGGAGTGTGGGAGTAAGGGAGTGAGGGAGTGAGGGAGTGGGGAGTGGGAATATAGGGCAACGCGCAGCTCCGTGTCTTTATTCTCCAGCTGCGACAGCAGCTGCTTCGTCCGCCTGCGCGCGCGCACCAGCTCCGCCTGCACGTTGCCCACTGCCGCGCCCACCACTGCTTGAATGTCATCGACTGAGAGCCGCCCGCGGATCGACGCTGCCAATTCGTCCGCCTGAAGATTGGGAGGGCGGAGGAAGGGGAGAGGAACAGAGGGACAGAGAGGAAGAGAGAGAGTGCGAGAGCGAGGGAGTGAGTGAGAGAAGGGGTGCGAGTGAGAAGAGTGGGCCACAAGCGCACCAGCTCCGCCTGCGCGTTGCCCACTGCTGCGCCCACCACCGCTTGCACGTCGTCCACCGAGAGGCGCCCGCGGATCGACGCTGCCAACTCGTTCGCCTAGAGAGTGGCGGGGGCGGAAGGGGGGATGCGGAACAAGGGATGGGAAAGGAACGAGGAACAGTCAGGCATTGTCGCCGCTCCCACTACTGCCTGCACGTCGTCCACTGAGAGGCGCCCGCGGATCTAAGCTGCCAGCTCGTCCGCCTGACGGGAGGGAGGGCGGTAAAGGTGATAGGGCACCTTGCTGGTCCGCACCTTGTGACATAATTCTCAGCGAGCTGCAAACTTAGCCAGGCTTAAAGCAAAGGATAGACAGTAAAGGTGATAGGGCACCTTGCTGGTCCGCACCTCCCCCACCACCCGCCCTCACCTCCTTCCCCACACACCCATTCCCCAATCCTCATTCCCCCACTTCCTCACCCATTCCTCCCCCCATTCCCGTTTTCCAATCCCCCATATTCCCCGTCCCCGTTTTCCCCCGTTCCCTCATTTCCCCATCTCCATGTTTGCCTTATTCCCATAATTTCCCCTCCCCCATTCCCCTTTCCATCTCCATCTTCCCCCTGTCCCCCCCCTCACCTTGCTCTGCAGGCGGCGGCTCTCCTCCTCAAGCGCCTCGTCCGCCGCCTCTAGCAGCGACCCCTTGGCGCGCACCTCCCCCACCAGCCGCGCCAGACTGCTCCCCCTTCCCCCGCCGCCCGCCTCCCCCGAGCCCTCCTCCGCTCCCCCCACATCCGCTTTCTCCTTCGCGTAGGGGGAAGATTTGGCAGAGGCGGAGGGGGCTGTGGCGGAAGCGGAAGCAACGGAGGGGGAAGTGGCGGAAGGGGAAGAGGCGGAGGGGGAAAAGGCGGGGGAGGAAGTTCGAGACGAGTGGAGCGCGGGGGACGAGCGGAAGGCGCGGGAAGAGGGAGGGGAGAGGAGGGTACGGAAGGCTTGGGAGAGGCGGTCGGAAAGGCGCGCCCAGAGCGAGGGCAGGGAGGCGGCGGCGGCGGCGTTGGGGGCTGAAGACGACGATTGCTCTGATGATGGCGATGGTGGTTGTGGTGCTGCGAATGGTGATGCGAGTGGTGATGAGGATGCAGGCGCTGTTAGTCCCAGCTGCGAGGCGTTGGCTTCCATATCCGTGGCCATGGAGGAGAGCTGCGGAGGGGAGGAAAGAACAAGGGAGAAGATGAAGAAAGGGGTCACTGATATGGGGGAGATCAAGGGGGGAGAGCGGAGAGTGGAATAGGCGACGTTAGTCCCGATTGTGACGCGCTCGCTTCCATATCAGTGGCCATAGAGGAGAACTGCCAACGGAACAAGGAGGGGAGAGGGCGGGGGGAGGATCTGAGTCGACTCAAAAAGGAAAAAGAGGGGAATAGGCGCTGTTAGTAGTCTCAGCTGTGAAGCGCTCGCTTCTCTATCAGCGGCCATAAAGTAGAGCTGCCGAGGGGAAGGGGGAACGAGGGGAGAATGAGAAATAGGAAAAACTGCCCCTGAAGCGTGGCTTTGAGTTTAACCAGAGCTTCTCTGGAAACCCGTACACCCATTCGTCTTCACGTGAAGAGAGGGTGTTTTTGAGACGTCTCAAAAACACCCTCTCTTCACCAGAGCTTCTCTGGAAACCCGTGCACCCATTCGTCTTCATACCACAAAACGGCTGGTGAAGGGGCTAAAAAAGAACCTCATTTTCTAAAGAGAGAGGATCCGAGAAGCACCACGTTTCCATGGAGTTGATTTCTTAGACGCCTCGTGAAGGAACTAGAACAAATTCTTTGAGGCGTCTGGCTGGCTGACTGACTGACTGACTGAACGACTGGTTGGCCGGTTGAATGACCGGCTCATTGATTGACTCGCTGGCTAGCTGACTGGCTGGCTGACTGACTGGCTGACTGACTGACGGACTGGCTGGTTGGTTGGCTGAATGGATGGCCGACTGACCGGAAGTGACAGGCTGGCTGACCAAAGGATCGGCTGACTTACTGACACTGGCTGAATGGCTGGTGGACTGACCGGCTGGCGAATCGCCTGACTCGCTCGCTGGCTTGAATGGACGACTGACTGGCTGGCTGATGCACCATCTGACTGACTTGCTGACTGAATGGCTGGCTGACTCGCTCACTGGCTTCTTGCCTGGCTGACTGCCTGACTGACTGCCTGACTGACTGCCTGACTGACTGACTGCCTGACTGACTGCCTGACTGACTGACTGACTGACTGCCTGACTGACTGACTGACTGCCTGACTGACTGACTGACTGCCTGCCTGACTGACTGACTGCCTGACTGACTGCCTGGATGACCGCCTGGATGACTGACTGCCTGGCATGTTCGTAAACTCGCCGCCGAATCTCCGTCTTGGAGCGAGAGTCGGAGGAGGAAAGGAGGAAGGGAGGAACGAGGGAGGAAAGAGGAGGAGCACCTCGCGGGCACTGACCCTCACGGGCACTGGCCCTCGCGGGCACTGACCCTCGCGGGCACTGACCCTCGCGGGCACTGACCCTCACGGGCACTGACCCTCGCGGGCACTGACCCTCACGGGCACTGACCCTCGCGGGCACTGACCCTCGCGGGCACTGACCCTCACGGGCACTGACCCTCGCGGGCACTGACCCTCGCGGGCACTGACCCTCGCGGGCACTGACCCTCGCGGGCACTGACCCTCGCGGGCACTGACCCTCGCGGGCACTGACCCTCGCGGGCACTGACCCTCGCGGGTAATGACCTGTTCACGCACTCGCCAAATACGCAGGCACTGACCTGTTCCTGCACTCGCCGCCGGATCTCCGTCATAGAGCGAGAGTCGGAGGAGGAGCGAGGCTGGCGGGAATATGGCGATTGGAGGGCAGGGATGGGAGACGCGCACACACACAGATGAATGGGGGCGAACGAGCACAGGGGGAACACGTATGAAGTTGGCGCGTGCTTAGCATGGGGGTACGGGCAAGGTAAGCACGCCCGTGCAAGTCAACTGCAGCGTAACAGCACAGCAGTGCAACAGCACAGCAGCGCAACAGACTAGGGAAAGTTCGGTCAGCGAATCACAGTCGAACCACAGGAGAGTAGGGGATCCTGCGCCGACGGCGAGAAAGAGGGAGACAGCAAGCGAAAAACGAGTGCAAAAAATCAGTAACTTGCCAGGGATCGAAACTTCTGCGTTGATGCTGACGTGTCTTCATCCTCGCGCTCTTTCGACGAACGAGGAGATGTCGAAGAGGACGATGTTGGAAAGGAATACGTGGAAAAGGAAAAGGTCGAAAAAGGGCCAGCCGCAGCCGGGCGATCGCCAGAGACGACCTCGGGCTCCTGCGACGACGACGGCGACGATTCCAGAGGCTCCTGCGACGAGAGGGCGTCGTGGACGAAATACGGCGATGGGAGGATGGACGAGGAGGAGGCGGAGCGCAAGGGGGGTTGCGACTGCGTCTGCGACTGCGACGATTGCGAACGAGACGGCGTTGACGGGGGTGATGTCGACGGCGACGGCGGTGAGTCGGAGAGATAGGAGGGAAGGGAGAGGCGGATGATGTTGTGGACGGAGTTGAAATCCCGTCGCAGGGCTTTAAGATTCGATGCTATCTGAACCGGCACGCGACCGGACGACATCGATCCTTGTGACGCCATAACTTGGAGGGCTTGCGCTCGCTCCACTAAGTGATCGACACGTGCTCGAATCTCATTGGCTGGCCGGAGAGGCATCGGCTGCTGATTGGAGGACGGGTCTACTGAGCCTCCGTTGCTGTCGCTGGGTTCAGGCTGCTGCGATTTTTCTAACCGCCGGCCACCACTAGATGGGCCGGCGGACGGCAGTTGCGACCAATGCGACGCCTGCGACGATTGCGACAGTTCGTTCCTACGGATCTGCTTTTGTAGCTGCTTGATCGATTTTGCCAGGTCATCAATCTCTTGCCGTGCCTGATCCACCGCCGACGCCGGAGGCCCTGCCACGTCAGCTCGTATGGATCGGAGGACGGGAGATCCTGACGGAACGGAAAGAGTTAACGGTAACCGGCCTGTTCCCGACAACCTCTTGTTCCGAAGCAAGCGCCGTTTGGACGGCGAGGATGCGTCCGCGGCACTGAAGGCATCGGTGATCCTTACACGCGTCTCGCTTCGCCCGTGAAGCCTTCGTTGATTTGTCGTGTGATCAACTGGTTCGAAAACTAGCACCTGCTACGGAAAACACACTTTGATCTGCACGAAGGTGGTTATTATTCGTATGAGTTCTACGCGTATGGTTCTGCCATGCCGTGATGCCAGAGGTGCCATAACCAGATCGCAGCGTCGGGCAAGAGATCAACCAATGCTGTGCTGCCATTGTGGACAAGCTGGCTCGACGGAAAAGGGTTCACGAATCAAATTGCATTACTCGAAAATCAACGCGACTGGATCACCACACAGTATAGATTCCAATGCTTGGGAGAGAGCCACTTAGAGGAAGAAACCAAGTTCTTGCCTTGCAATTACTAGTTACTACGTATGATCATTCGTCCGCAAGAGTGAAATCAAGCTCAGGACAGGAACGGAGGAGCTAACGAAAAGGCAAGACTTGGGGGAATGACTGGATGGTTGGCGTTTGGGAGTGGGACCCAAGTGAGGAGAAGTGAGAGTTATGAACGACGACACTTAGGTAGCTCAAGATTCTCGAGTCTAGATGGTGGGACGAAAAGTAGCAGGTAAGGGTGTGCTACATTTGTCCTCCAGATTCGCAACGGTCTAAAGCGGTGAATAGAATCCACCGTACTTGACCGTGACTTCCTGCATTGAACCGTGCTTTACACAGGCTGACTTTCTCTAAATGCGAAGAGCAAGCATGACCCAAGAAGCAGTGGAGCGGTAGAGGGAAGAGGATTCAGGGGATAGGCGGGGAACATGGGTGGCCTAGAATTTGTCCGTTAAGGGCCACGTCAGCGAGATCAAGGTGGTCATGGGCGCCCGATGAACGGTGAGGAATGAGCGATGGCGGGATCCGGACGAAGCGCACACTGCGGGGAGTATCTGGGACAACCGCAACGGGCCGCCAACCAGCTGGTCCTGGAAAGTACCACTTGTGTGTTGGCTTGATTGGATCTTTTCGGACGAATCAGGCAGCTCCTCCCAGGGCTTGGCAGATAATCGAAGAGCAACATCTACGGACACGATCGAAGCGAAATGACACAATCTGCATGCACACGTGAGTGGGAACACTCCAGACATCATTTCAATACGCAGTTGGTACTAACAGTAAGTTTAGCGTACACAAACCACGGACCAGCTTAGGTCCACTAATCTTAACGAAAGCCCTCTCTTGTGTTGCGCTTCACCAAACTTCTGGCTCGCACAGCCACATGGTGAAGCCCACGCAGGAAAAACCAAAACAGAACCAAACCACACCAATCCAAACCAAACAAAACTTTTAGACCACTAAATTCTGAAGTCGTCGCAGCTCTGGGTGGTGTATAGTACGCAGCTAAGCAGACGCTGCAACAAAATTGGACGTGGACGAGATGCCATTAGAGCAGCCCCCTCCACCAAGACTAGACTGCACTGACGCAGCCGCTGCCGCCGCAGCAGCACCACTACCAGCACCAGCAGCACCACCAGTACCACCGGTAGAAAGAGGAGGCTGCATGGAGTGAGAGCAAGCGAGAGTAGGAGCACCTCCCTTGGATGATCCTCCTATCAGCATTCCCCCGTCAGCCACAGGTGGCAGCAAGGTTCCGCCTGCAGGAGCAGCAACAGCAGCAGGAGAAGCAGCAGGAGCAGGAACCGCAGCAGCAGGAACAGCAGCAGTAGGAGCGGGAGCAGCAGCAACAGGCTTGAGGTCCGAAAGGACAGTCTCGGAATCCGTTCCCCTCCTGTCTGCCATGCTGTCAACCACTCCGCTCGCAATCGCAGTCCCTCCTGCTGCTGCCACCCCTCCTGCTGCCGTTGCCCCGCAAGCCCGTGCCACTGGTGGCTTGGCATTGGGAGGAACAACGCTGCTCTCCACTGCACTCTCCCCATGAGCCTCAAACCCCGCATGCACCCGCAGCAGCTCACACTCCAATCGCACTACATCCATCTCCGGCTCTAACCCTTTGGGATTGTTGGGGAGCTCAAACCTTTCAGGGTTTTGTGGGAGCTCCACCCTCCCTGATACGAAGCTGCTTGTGAGAGGGTCGGTGCTCCCTGCGTTGAGGGCCATTGCTCCTGGGGTGAGGAGGGGCGGCAGGAGAATGGATTCAGCACCGTGTGCTGCGCACGAGCTCACCAGCAGCAGGCAGTCTCCTTCGCCGCAGCTCGGCCGCAGTAGCGGCAGCGGTGCAGCTTCTAACGAAGCAGCTTGTAGTGAAGCAGGGTCAGTGGGGAGGAGGATGGACTCGGATGTTAGCGCACCGGAGTAAACAGGGCACAGTGCCGAGTGCTCTGCTGTAGTTGGGGCTGCTGCTGGGATTGCTCCTGGGGTTGAAGCTGTGGGTGCTGCTGGGATTACCACACCATCTCTCTTGACAGTGGCAGCAACTGATGCAAGGATAGCAGCAGGTGCAGAGGCTGCTGCAGAAATAGCAGCAACAGCAACAGCGATGGGTGCAGTGACAGTGGCAGCAGTGGCAGCGGCGATAGTGGCAGCAGCGGCAGCTGAGCAGTCAGCCTCGTTACCAACTGCTGCCACCACAACAGGGGTGACAGGGACTGGAGAGGACAGCTTGGCTTCAGGTGTCAGCTCAGGTGAAACAACAGGTACATTCACAGCCGAGTTCTTGCCAGGCGAAAGCACCTGCTGCTGCTGCTGCTGCTCCTCCTCCTTCTGCTGCAGTGAGCCCTGCTCTATCTCATGCCCTGCCAGTCTCCCCCTCAAATGCTCACACTTCACAAGTCCACTGGAAGTGTTATCTGCAGCCCCACTTGCCGGCTTGCCTGTAGCGCAGCTAATAGGCTTGACTGTGGCAGCAGTCATGGGTTTACCCCTGCTCCCCACTCCATGTCCGGGCACTTTCCTCAGCGAGAACCGCACCTTCACTCCTCCGCCCAGGCTTGCGCCGGAGGAAGCCGCAGCAGAACCAGGAGCACCACCAGCCAGCAGCAGCAGCAGAAGCAGGAGCAGCAGCGGGAATATCCTCGTGTCTTGTGTTCTTCCCGCTTCCCCTACCTCCTCCTGCCTTGCACTTCCCACCAACTCCCAGCCTCTGCACCTCCCCTTCTCCCCCCTTGCTACCTGCTCGCCTGCACACCCCTCTCTTGCTCACACTGCCCTTGCTTTCCCATCCCCTCTTTGCACTCTTCTTACTGGAAGGGATGACAGAGCTTACCACCTGCACCACCAAAGGACCGTCCACCTCTGCCCTCCTCACATCCCTCACTCTCAGCCGCCCACCCTTACCCATTGCAAACAGAGCCACCTCCTTTACAGGCACATCCATCATAGTCACATCGGCGAGCCTGCTCTTCTTTCCTGAATGACCGACACGACCAATCATACTCTCACTACAATCGGGTCCCTCAATAACGCGTCTCTTTTTCCAGCCCCTACACTCTCTCTCTCCCTCTTTGCCACTTTCCTTGCCCTTCCCCCCCTTGCCGCCTTCCTCTTTGCCCTTCCCCTCCTTGCCTTTCCCCACCGCACCTTCCACTTCTCTTTTCTCACCAATCCTCCATCCCCCCTTCTCCCCCTGCATCCCTTCCCCCCTTTCCAGTCGCTTCCCCAACCTCCTTGCATTCCCCTTCCGCCCGCCCTCCCCCTCCGCTTTTTCCGCGTCCCCCTCCCCCGCCCACTCCCCTTCACCTTCTCCTCCTCTCTCAACAGAATTTGCGGTTCTTGCCTGGTCCGAACCTCCCTGGTTCGGACCAGTAAATTTCCGTCCCTTACCAGAAGCAGATGAAACCGACCCCAGTTGCTCCTGCCCGTTCCCCCGCCCTTCCCCCTCCCCATTCCCCTCCCTCTCTACCCCCTTCTGCCCCGCGCTCTGCTCCCCCGCCTGCCCCAGCCTACGCCTCCCGCCCCTACCTCCCCCGAACCTCTGCTCTCGCCCCTGGCCCTTGCCGAGCCTCTGCAGCCGCTTCGGTCCCTTCCCCTCCCTCTCCCTCCCTTCCCTCCCCCCTTTCCACTCCTCTCGCTCCTCCCACTCTTCCTCCATCTCTTCCTCCTCCCTGTCCTCCTCATCATCCTCCCCTTCCTCCTCCCACTCCCTCCTCCCCTCCTCCTCCTCTTCCTCCTCCTCCACCACTCGCTTTCTCCTCCTCCCTCCTCCCTTCTTATACTGGCATTGATACTCAAAGAACGGAGACAACAACCCTCCCTCCGTCCCCTTAAACCCTCCCAACCCCCCCTCACTCCCTTCCCCAGTCAAAACCCCATCACCCCCCTCACTCCCCTCTCCCCCTTCACTCACCCCCCCACTAGCTTCTCCCCTTTCTACTTTCACCTCTCTCACCCTCCCTTTCATCCTCTCCTCCTCCCACACCGTCCCCTCCCCTCCCACTCCCCCTCCCACGCCCTCCCCCTCCTCCCCCTCCTCCTCGCCCCCGTCCCCAACCCGCCGCAGCTGCTGCCACGTGGCGATCACAGACCGCCGCATCTCCACGATCCGACGGTGGGAGTTCGAGTGCTTTTCCGCCACGTATTCAGGGGAATTCGCGGGGCGGTACTCCGCGCACAGCCGCCCGGACTTGTACCGCACTCCGCACGCGTTGCACAGGGTTTTAGGCCCATACGGCCCAGCTCGCCACTGCGGGGTTTTGGTCACGGAGCAGTGCAGGCAGCGCCGCACAGCACCAGCAGCGCTACCACCACCACCGCTCGCCGCCCCTGCTGCTGCTGCAGCAGAAGAATCGCCAGCAGCAGCAGCAGCAGCCGCAGCAGCAGCAGCAGCGCCGGCAGGGGCGCCAGCATCAGCAGAAGCAGCAGCACCAGCAGCAGCAGCAGAGGAAGTACCGTCAGCTGAAGACTTCAGTTCTGCCGCCAGGTTACCAATTTCGCCAGCCAATGACGAAGCCCCAGAGAGACTCGGCAGACCTGACGACAGGGAACCACACTGTACCCCATCTGCCCCCAAATCTCTGCTCGCTGCCGTTTTCACAATGCCATTGGCCGCCGCGACCGCGCTTTCGGGCAGCTGAAAAACAGATTCCACCTGCCCGGAACAGAAATCCGGACCATAGGAAACGGTGCTGGCGCTCCGGTCTGAGCTTGAGACGGATAGCCGCGAGAGAGGGGACGGCTTGTGGCGCTTTGTTGCATTCAGCCTTCCAGACGCTTCGGCAGCAGCACCACCAGCAGCGCCAGCAGCACCGCAAGCAGCAGCAGCAGCAGCAGGGGGGTTTCTTTGCAGGGGGGACGAGAGGATAGGCACAATATAGCTAGCAGCAAAACCAGCACTACCAGCAGCAGCCTTACCTCCTGCTGCTGCTGCTGCTGCTGCTTCCGCCTCTGCTGACGCGGCGGCAGCAGCCAATCGGGCAGCAATGGCGGCTTTAGAAGGGCGACCTCTGGGTCTCCCCGTGTAAGGCGGCCGCCCCTTGCTCTTCTGCCTGCCCCTCTGCTCCGACTGCGCCTTTTTGTGCTTCCTGTTCCTTCCATTCTGCGCGGACGCGCCGTACTGCTTGCTCGCGCGGAAATACCCGTTATAAGCTCGAACCCGCGAGTGCCCCTGCTGCTCCCACTCCTGCCCCTCCTCCTCCTCCTCCTCTTCTTCCTGCTCCTCGTGCTCCTCCTGCTCCTGCTGCTGCCGCCACTGCTGCCGCTGCTGCCGCTGCTGCTGCTGCGCCTGGTCTAGCAACACATGCTCGTCGCATTCGTGCTCTGGCGCGTAAATCTCCTCCGTCGGATGGAGCAGATCGTTCAGCAGATCAACGGTCCAGGTTCGCCCACGAGCGATGGGGAAGTGAGATCTTGGCCGTTTGCCGGGGATGGGGGAGAGCAAGAGGCGGTCAAGCGGGGAGGGAGAGGGAGGGCGGGCGGTAGGGGAGCGGGCGGAAGGGGAGCAGGCGGGCGGGGAGCGGGGGGACGAGGGGGAGGGGAGAGAGTAGGAGGAGTGCAGAGGAGCAAGTGTGGAGATAGGGCTTCCGGAATACCCATCCTGATCGCAAATCAAATCTTTTCGAGCCACAGAGATCGCCATAGATCCGCCACTTCTCTTAACCTTGCCGTTGCCACTGTCGCTACCATAGCTCCCGCCCTTGGCGCTCCTCCGGAGGCCGGCGCTGCCGTGAGGCGCGCGCCTCGTCTTGCCCGCCACAGCCGCAGCGTGCGGGGGAGCGCGCGCGGAGGGGGCGGAAGCGCCCGGAGCAGAGGAGGAGGATGGCTTGGCATGGCAGGAGGGGTGATGCGGCGGCATGGGCAGCAGCGAAGAGAGGTCGTCCGCAAAGAGACCCGCGCCCAGCGCCAACAGGCAATCGTCGCCCTGCGCGGAAGGGGAGGGGAAAAGCGCGGGCGGAAGGGGAGAGGCGGGGGCGGAGGGGGGACACAAATATTGGGCAAAAAAACAGAAAACAAGAGACAAGAGGAGGGGCGCATCGGGGAAGAGACCAGCGCCGAGCGCTCTAGACAATTATTCCTCTGGTACTTTTTTTTGGTACTCAAGACAACGATCGCTGGAATTTTGCGTTGAGCCTACTAGGTGAGTCGGTGCGCGGAGTTCAGTCAAACCCCTTCAAAACCCTCTTATCTTTCGGGTCACAACAGATTGCTCAAATTGCAACGTCTTATTTCATTTCCCGGATGGAGACGTCTCACAGCTGCATTTGAAGCGTCGCGACGCGCGTACTCGATTGCAAGAAGCACGGAATACCACTCGACCCCTCAAGAATGTGAGATGGTTCCAATTTCGCATGGTTATCTATCTCACGCCACAGCAGCTTTTGAGGTGCCTCAAAAATCTTTCTCACGCCACAGCAACGCCCCGGCATGTCGTCATGCTATGACAACCCAACTCTACCAACATCAACACCACCAACGACAGATGAGCATGTGACGCCAGCTTGTCTTCGCAACACCTTTACGCTGTGACGCACCTGCACGTCGCACGCTCACCAGCACGTCGCACGCTCACACCAGAATGTCGCATGTCGCACGCTCATACGAACAAAGTCGCACGCTCACCAGCATGTCGAGCGCGTCGCCTGCAGGCAGCATGTCCTCGAAATCCGCGAGGCAGCGCGTTTCCAACCCGTCGAGGCACCCCATGCCGTCCATCGGGTCGACGCAGTCAACGCGGTCAACGTGGTGAACGGAGTCGTGGCGCACGGAGTCAGCGGGGTTAACGCAATCAACGCGGTCAAGCAAGTCGATGGGGCCCGCAATGTCGTCCGTAGGAATGGCGAGCAAGTCCTCCTCTCCTTCCTCTCCTTCCTCATCCGCCTCCTCCCCATCTCCCTCTCCTCTCTCTTCTCCTTCCTGCTCTCCCTCCTCGTCCATCTGCTTTTCACCCTCCGCCTCTACCTCTTCCACCTCCCCCTCCGCCGCGCCTTCTTGGTGGTCCGATTGGGCGCCTTCGTTGTCCACGTCAGCATGCTCCTCGTCCGCGTCATCATCACGGCCGCCCGCATCCCCCAATCGCCCTCCTTCGATTTCGACACTCGTCCCATTCATCCACTCCCGCTCCTCCGCTCCGTCTCTGGAATCTTCCTTGTCTCCCGCGTCGTCCGCGTCGCCCGCGTTTCCCGCGTCGTGAGGGTCTCTTTCTCCTCCGCTCACTACTCTCTCTCCCTCGGCTTCCTCGGCCTGCTTTGCCTCAGGCGCGTGGATCCCAATATCCGCGTTTTCCGCGTCCGCTCGTGCCGCCCCGAATTCCTCTGCCGGTGTCGAAGCAGCGTCGACGCCGGAGGATTGCGAGGGCAGCGCGGAAACGGTTTCCGCGTCAATCCAATGAGAGTGCGATTGCGCAGCAGCAGTAGGCTGATGAGGGAACAGCCAGAGAGAGAAGCAGAGAAGTAGGGAAAGAAGGGAGAATAACAGGACGAGTTCAGTCAACAAGGGGCAGATAGAGAAGGAGCGGGGAGAGAGGGATTGAGAAACGCGGAACGAAGAGCGCGGAACGCGGAAACGGCGGAGCAAGAAAGTCGGTCAGGGAACAGCGGCTAACGAGAAGAGTCGAACCCACGGAATCTTGCGCCGCGGAAACTGAGCGCAGCGGGGAATCTTATAAGGCGCTCTGACGAGAAAGGGAGACGGACGGACGGACGGAAGGAGCTCGCGGGAACGGCGTTCGGGGGAACGACGCGTGGGAAAACGGTGCTCTGGGAAACGGCACTTGGGGTAACGGCAGCAACGGACGGTAGCGGAAGGGGAACGAAGCGTGCGCGAGGGAAGAGCGAATAGCGTGGTCGCAGCGTCGGCGCGACAGCTCAACGAGTGACTATATCAGGGAAGCCTGTAACATCGACGACAAGAACGCACTCGGCAGTAGCAGCACCGATGAATCGTCCCAACGAAGAATAGCGGTACGACCCCAATCCAACCAAGGAAACATCGCCACGCCACATCGCCACGCGGCGGCACTGGGCACACGACGGCTGTTGAATTAAAACGATATTGTAGGCGCCGCGAAAATCGATTCTAAAAGATGCGTTCACATCAGCTCTCGGCCTACCATTTGCTCGGTCTACCATCGCGCGACCTATTCTGGTTCGGCCTACCGGTAGTCGCTCGTAAGACGAAACTCGTTCCTAACGCTACTTATAAACGCGAGCCGTCACTTATAGGTCAACCAACCTGCTGCTCCGCACTCGTCGGGTTTCTTGACCGCGACTCGGGAAAGAAAACGGAGCGCGTGCCCCCATTCTCGTCCGTCAATCCAACCGCTCGACCGTCAGTGAAGACGGCGCTGTCAGACGTGCCGCCGTCGATGTTCGAGGCTCCTACCAGAGCTTCGACTGGTCTCCGCTGACATGCTGACTTCCCCGATGAATCGTCGGCGAGAACGGTAACCGGAGCTTCGCGAGTTTCGCGAACGGTCTGACGCGCCAGCGGCTGGGCACCAGGAGGCTCTGGCGAGTGGTGAAGCTTCTGCAGCGAAGTCGGACGCGGTTCCGACGGCATCGTTCCAAGAGACGCGCGCCTCGGGTGGAACGACTCGAGCGCCGTGACGCCTCGAGCCACGGGATCGACTGCGCGGAGCGGGGATGACGGAGCAGCCATGGCTGGTTCCGACGATGCGCGGTGCGCTTGGGTGTTTTCAGACGCGCACGACGGAAACGGATAAGAGAATGGTGGAGAAACTCTAGCAGGAAGGGGAGGGGAGAGGAGTATTGAACCAGGAGTTTCGAAGGAGGTTGAGGAATAAAGGGATGAGAAGCAGGAGAGACGAGAAATTTGTTTAGCCTGGTCGGGCGGAAGAGAAAGGTGAAGGGGGGAGTGGGAACACAAAGACGGCAGCAGGAATGGCCGAAAGCTGTAAGTGGGAGGAGGAGTGAGTTGAGCAAGTTTGTCCGCGCATTGTTTGATTCGAAAAACCGACAACCAGTTCGCAACTTGGAAAACTCGTGTGAGAGCGGAGCGGAATGGCTGATTGAAGAGTGACTGCGAGGAAATGAGCAGAATTGTAGGTTGCAGCGGATGAATGACAGATAACGGGAGCGCACACTTCCAGAGAGCGGCAGGGAAAGGGGAAAGAATGATTCAGACAGAGTGAGGGGGAAGGGGAAAGGAGCGTAGCAGGGCGGTCAGAAAGTGAACGAGCACAGTAGACTGGACCGCGGTGTGCGCAAAAGACTTGCCGGAGAATGCGGCGGAAGAGGTTATGGGGGCAGGGCAAGGGGGAGGGTGGGGGTGCCCTACTGCCCACTGCCCTGCCCACCTGGTTCTGTTGGTCGGCTGGAAAGACTTCGTTGGCGCGGGGGCAGAGGGAACTTGACGGGGAGTTCTGGGCGGGGACGGTGACTTCGAGGGGAAAGGCGGAAACGGTGGTTTGACGTGACTGGCTAGTCTTCTTGAGGCGGAAGGAATGCTGTTTCTACTCCGCGCGCTTGTTTCCTGCCGCGGTAGAGACGCAGCATGCTCGCCTTCACCGAGCCAGACTTGCGCACCTTCTACCTGCGCATTCCTGCCTTCCCCCACAAGATTTCCGCATGGCTCGCGCACAAATGCCCCGAAGCCGAAGCTGACGTTTCGCGCGTGCGCCTGGAGATCGGATCAATCAATGCTGTGTGGGATGGGCTGCGGCGAGGCACTGCCACGCTGGTGCTGCCATGGCGCTTGCTGCTTGGCCCTCCGGCCTCGGGGGCCTCGTGGCTTTGATCCCGAGGTGTGCAACCCCCGTGCTGCTTGCGGGGATTCCGCGCGCCTGTTCAATTCTCCGCCATCCGCCCTCAGCAAGGGAGGGGGTAGGCGGGGGCAGGCCAATCGTCTCCGCGGAGAAAAGGGTCGGTCAAGCGGTTGGAACTTGGAATTTGGAAACTGTCTTGTCGCGCGCGGAGATTCGAAGCTGACCAGCTACGCGGGCAGGGAGGGAAATTGAATCTACCAATCAGAGTACCTGGTCCGTGAGCAAGGGGCACCTGCCTTCCTTGCAAGAATTGCCTGTTCGAAGGAAACGAGAAGGTCGCGGCGAAAAGCTTGGGTGGTTGGGTTCGGTGAAGCTGGTCCTGGCTTTGTGACTGTTTCCTTTCACACTGCTGACTCAGGTGCAGAGCGAAACGTACAATTCATTGGATAATGTGCAAACCACTCGGGCTTTTCCCCCCGATTTCGGGAGCTCAAGTCATCGCACCAGTGGAATATGCCGTAGTTTCGATGTAATTTTGGTTCGCACGAAATCGTTGACCTACCGAAGTTCCTCCTTGCTCCTCAGAATAATCACGTGTGGCGGGACATATGTGTGCTGTGCCCCACCCACCCCACCCCGCCACCTCAGCTTCCCAACCCCCCTTCCCCCAACCCCCGAACCTGCATGCCCCTGCGCCCCTTTTCTTCCCCCAACCACTTCCCCCATTCCCTCCCCGCGCAACAGAAACTGTGGCAAGTGAACTCTGCACAGGTCAAACAGAACTCCACCCAGCCTGAACATCGGGACAGTAGACCTGAGGATCAGGTCAGCTCCCCGATTCGAGGGCCCTGTTGGACGAATGAGCTGTCGAGGAGCAATGCCCCCGAAGCTTTGCCCGTGACGGTGGATCCTCGAGATTCGCGGGGGCTGTGAGTGTGCCACATAAGGACATAATTTTGCGAATACCAGGCGAAACTCCACGACGCCTGACGATCTTCGCATGACCAATACAGTATACGAGCATGAAAGCACCATGATATTTCTCGCACAGTTGACGCGTTGGAACCAATCAGCAAACTGACGACAAAATCGATATAGAGAACCTCACGGCGAATCCTTTAGTGAGCATGGACTGAACTGAGGAATATTTTTTTCTTGGGATTTCACAATGAGGCAGAGGACACCCTAGTCGGGTCTCACAACGAGGCAGAGGGACACCCTAGTCCCGAATAAAATAAGCATTAATAATTTTTTTTATTTCTGAAAATTATAAGTCTCTTATCCCCATGATCTGGCTTTTGCGATATGGAAAATAAAACGATAACAAATAATACTCGCTCATAACAGGTAACTGATAACAGATAATGATATGTTTTATTAATTTATAATTTTGGAACATCCAGCATCTCGTACCAAAAGGAAAACACGTAATCTATCTTGGATATGGGATTGCTGAGGAAATTTAAATGTCCTTATGCATCTCTTTTAACGTTTCATCTACACTGCCTGGTAGCACATAAAACGCTGTCAACCAGTTTCTCCCAGCCACCACTGCCAGTTCGGCAGGCATTATGGCCATTATCGCCATTATGGGCATTTTAAACGGGCCCCCAAAAAATGGCGCCCAAGCATTTCTAGAAACAACTTCGAAATCGGATTGTAGCTGCAGCGCACCCTCGGGAAAATGGTCTGGGTGGGTTTCGCAGAAGATGCTGGGGAGTTGCCCTGATGAATCGCGTGAACATGTGATTGGCTGGCATATTTGACCAGTCACTTTTGATTGCCCCGAATCCGCCGCATGGTGCGGCGGATCAGAAAGTGGGCACTTTGCCAGAGAAACTGGGTTCGTGGAAGATTCAGGCAGTTGAAAACGCCTGCATAAAAGAGGGTTTGGGGAGGCATTCCATTATTGTCAGGCTCGGCGTAGATCCGCTTATATCGAGCCTTGATAACCATTCACGCGATTATCAAGGGTGGTCGTTTCACTGTAGCCCATCCACCGAGGCCATTTTTTTAATGCCCTGGGCCTGGGTATTTCCAGGGGAAATTATACGCGCAGTCACAATTTAGGCCGTATTATCACGTTTGGTTACGGGGTTATCACGGACAGTCACAGTACAGTACTTCGCTATCACGTGTGATCACAGCGCTATCACGCGTGGTCACACCTCGCCCCGTAGGGTTATCACGTTTGGTCACTCGTTGAAACGCCCGCCAAAAAGTCGAAACTCTCAAATCTACTGTACAGATTCGGGTACTATTATCTCGCGCGCGTTTTGTCTGTAGTGAAAAACGTGATGTGACTGTCGAAATATACTCGGACCTTGTTAGGGACCGATGCAGTTTAATGCACAGTCCGCATGTTGCAGTGAATATAAGCGATCAATAACAGTTTCGATTATACATTTAGTTTAGGGTGTGCATTTCATCCATAAAACAAAGACATGGGTTTAGGTCGAATGATTTAAAAAGTGAGAACATTGAAATCATTCGAAAACCATACAACAATCTGTGGCATATGATTCTTGAGTGGGGACTCAAATTTGTAGTCCCCTCTCAAGAATCATATGCCACAGATTGTTGTATGGTTTTCGAATGATTTCAATGTTCTCACTATTTAAATCATTCGACCTAAACCCATGTCTTTGTTTTATGGATGAAATGCACACCCTAAACTAAATGTATAATCGAAACTGTTATTGATCGCTTATATTCACTGCAACATGCGGACTGTGCATTAAACTGCATCGGTCCCTAACAAGGTCCGAGTATATTTCGACAGTCACATCACGTTTTTCACTACAGACAAAACGCGCGCGAGATAATAGTACCCGAATCTGTACAGTAGATTTGAGAGTTTCGACTTTTTGGCGGGCGTTTCAACGAGTGACCAAACGTGATAACCCTGCGGGGCGAGGTGTGACCACGCGTGATAGCGCTGTGATCACACGTGATAGCGAAGTACTGTACTGTGACTGTTTGTGATAACCCCGTGACCAAACGAGATAATACGGCCTAAATTGTGACTGCGCGTATAATTTCCCTATTTCCAGCCTCAATCTTTTGTCAATTTTGCAGCCACCTCGGGTTCTGCTGCGTCCATCGCTGCCTGCACGGGACAAAAACTAGTAGTACCTCGATTTCTTCACGAATTGCTTCTTAGTTTCGTCTGTGGCTGCTACTAGCAGTACTTACATCATGCGACCCATCCACCGTCGACTGCACGGATTGATGTTTGAGTCAATTAGACATCACTTCCCGTCTTCCGTCTCTCACACGCGACGCGTCTCCCGTCGAGTGCACGGAATGACTCATGCGACGCGATAACGAAAGAACTGGCGCACGTCGCGTCGCGCATGAAGTGCATTCTAGCCGCTACTACCGTTGCCTGCTGCTCCATGCAACGACTATAGCCGCACGACGTCCTCCCGTCTTTTGAGAAGTCTCAAAGCTGCTCCTTGTAATGGTTTAGCATGAAATCTTCCCGTCCCGCCGTTTGAGGAGATTTTAAAGTGCTCCTTGTAACGGCTTTTCTTCAGCATGACGTCTTCCCGCCTCTCGCACGCGACACGTAGTATTCATAGTCGTTTATGAGTGACGCGTCGCTGCAGCGATGCCCTCCAGCCGCCATTACTGGCTGCTGCTGCTAGCTGCGCTCGCAGCGCTCGCGTGCTGCTGGTGGGTCGTTCTCTTCCCGCTCGCCCTTTCCCCCTCTCAGATCGATTCGGGTCAAACTCGCGCCGTGCTCCAGGATGCGCGATACGTCAACGAACTGTCACGAGCTTCGCTTCATTCGCGCGATTCGGTACAGCTGAAACGACAGCAGGAGGAGCCGAAGGAAGGGGAAGACGCAAAGGAGGCGGGGCGGATCCGGCCGAGATCTGACGGTGGCTATTCTAGATTCGGGGCCGTGGGTCCACGTCAGCAGCACTGCATTGTCATCGACGCGGGGAGCACGGGAACGCGCTTGTACGTGTATGAATGGGAGGGGGTGGGGACAGACGGATGGAGAGGCGGATGGAGAGATGGAGGGCAAGACAACAGGGGGAATGTGAGTTATGTGAGTGGCAGCAGTGAGACTGGGAGGAGTCCTGTGAATCTGCCTGTGATTCGGCAGCACGAACAGAAATTTCAGCAAGAGCCGTTTGGATTTTACCCCCAACAACAACAGTTGCTGCTGCTGCAACAGCAGCAGATGCAGAAGCTGCTGCAGCAGGGCCGACGAATAGGAGACTTCCAAACTGAGCCTCTGAAGCAGACGCAACAACCACAGCTGCAGCTGCAGCAGCAGCAGCAGCAGCCAAAGCAGCAAAAGCGAGCGTACAACCGAAAGGAAACCGAACCCGGGCTCGATAAGTTCCTGAATGACCCCCGGGGGCTTCGTGAACGCGCCCTTGGTCCGCTCCTCGACTGGGCCCTGCAGGCCATTCCAAACCCCGCCGCCCGTGCCGCCACGCCCGTGTTTCTCTTCGCTACAGCCGGGTTGAGGAAGCTTCCTGGTGAGGAGTCCGCATGGGTTTTGGAAGAAGTGAGAGAGGTTTTGAGCGGTTCAGGGTTTTGGTTTAAGAGGGAATGGGTTAGAATCATTTCAGGGGTGGATGAGGCGGTTTATGGGTGGATTGCACTGAATTATGTTGCGGGACGGTTTGGAGGAGTGGAGAGCGGCGAGAGGAGGAGATTGGTGGGTGGAGAGGGGTCATTGGAGGGGGGTGCTGAAGGAAAAGGGGAGAAGGAGGGGCAGAGGGAGGGGGGGAGGCAGCGAGAGGAGGAGGAGAGGGATGCGGGTGGAAGGGAGAGTGAAACGAACGTGGGGAGGAGGCTGTTGCAGCAGGAAGGGCGGCAGGAAGGGTGGCAAGAAGGGCGGCAAGAAGGGCGGCAAGAAGGGCGGCAAGAAGGGCGGCAAGAAGGGCAGCAAGAAGGGCGGCAGGAAGGGCGGCAAGAAGGGTGGCAAGAAGGGCGGCAGGAAGGGTGGCAAGAAGGACGGCAAGAAGGGCGGCAAGAAGGGCGGCAAGAGGGTTGGCATGAAGGGCGGCAAGAAGGGCGGCAAGAAGGGCGGCAAGAAGGGCGGCAAGAAGGGCGGCAAGAGGGTTGGCATGAGGGGTTGCGGGAGCAACAGGAGCAGAAGGAGGTGGAAGAGGAAAGCCAGATGAAAGGGTTGGAGGGAGCAGGAGTGGTGGAGGAGAGGGAGGAGAGCAGGGAGAGGGAGGAGAGCAGGGAGAGGGAGGAGAGCAGGGAGAGGGAGGAGAGCAGGGAGAGGGAGGAGAGCAGGGAGAGGGAGGAGAGTAGGGAGAGGGAGGAGAGCAGGGAGAGGGAGGAGGGCGAGGAAAAGGGAAAATGGGGGGTGAATAGGAGGAAAGGGGAAAATGGGCAGAGAAAGGGGGGGCAGGAGGAGGAGCAAGAGGTGAGGGAGAAGGCGGAAAGCGATTCAATGGAGGGGGAGGAAGAGGAGGCGGCAAGGCGACGGAGGGAGGAGGAAGAGAAGGAGGAGGAGGCGGAGAGAGGCAAGAGGTTGATCAGGGCTGAGCTAAGAGAAGTGGGGGGGGGCAGGCTGGGGGGTTTGAGAATACATGGTGAAGAAGAGGAGGTAAGGGGTTTGAGAGGCAAAGGCGAAAGCAGAGGGGAAGGGGGTCTGAGATTAGGGGCAGTGGAAATGGGCAGGGGTGGAGGGGAGGTTGAGGGGGGGGAGGATGAGGAGGAGCTAGTTGGAGTGGTGGGGAGAAGAAAGGCCCAAGAAGATGTGGAGGTGGAAGAGGAGCAGACAGGAGAGAGGGACGGGGGGAGGGGAGAGGAGAGGGAAGGAGGGGGGGGTGTGGGAGCAGAGGGAGAAGGAGAGGAAGCAGTAGGGGAGACAGCAGAGGAAGCAGCAGGAGAAGCAGCAGAGGAAGCAGCAGGAAGAAAATGCTTCAGAAAAAGCAGGAGAAGCAGCAGGAGAAACGGCAGGAGAAACACCAGAGGAAACGATAGGGACGCTAGACCTGGGGGGATCCAGCCTGGAGGTCACCTTTGTGCCACGTGTCACACCCCCATTCGCTGCCACGTCAACCCCATCACGATACCTAGCCAACGTGTCACTAGGCGGGCGGCATTTCAGCCTGTATGCTCACTCCCACGAGGGCTATGGCATGAATGACGCTTTTGACCGCTCTGTGGCTTATCTGTTGCATCAGAGAAGGGAGGAGGTGGAGGAAGGGGGGAAGAAAACAAAGGGAGGAGGAGGTGGAGAGGAGAATAGGGAGGAGGGTGAGGAGGAGGATGGGGAGAAGAACGGTGGGGAGGATGAGGGGGTGCAGAGCGGTGCAGGAGAGGTTGGAGGTGCGGGGGAGAGAAGAGCAGAGAGGTTGTTGGCTGGAAGTGGGACGGGGTCAGGCCACTGGGGGGATGACACGTGTCGCTCATCCGTGCCTCCATGCGGGATACAGAACGCGCCACACTGTGAGGAGAAAATGGGCTGCTGCTGACGTGGATGCGACAGCAGTGGATGTGACGGCTGGGGAATCCACCAATCAGACCACTCCGGGCAGGCAAAAGAATCCTGAGGTGGAGGTTTTCGGGCAGCCTAATTGGGCGGAATGTATGGCCCTTACTCGTTATGTGGTGGCATCCAGCGTTAAGAACACAGCAGCTGCAGCAGCAGCAGCAGCAGCAGGCACTGCTTCAGGCAGCAAGGGAAGACCAGCAGCAGCAGGCAGAGTGGCTTGTGGGACGGGAGGGGAAGGCGTGGACCCCCCTCCCTGTGCGTTGGGCGTGCACCAGCCTGCATTCAAAGGGCGCTTCTCCGCTCTTGCGGGATTCTATGTTGTGTCTCTCTTCTTTGGGGTTTTCCAAGACCCACTGCCCCAGCAGCAGCAGCAGCAGCAGACGCAGGGGCAACAGCAGCAGCAGGAGCTGCTGGAGCAACAGGAACAGGAACAGGATTCTGAGATTAAAAAAACCTCTGCTAGACTGGGGTTGGGGCAGACCTTACGAGGCTCTATGGGCAGGCAAAGAGGTGTCGCCGGGCAGGCCGGGCAGCTGGATTTTTACACCGACGGGCAGGCGGCCGAGCCCATCCCCCGCGGCAACACCTCAGCTGCCCTGGACGCAATTTTGTCCCGCGGGCAGGCCTACTGCTTCCGACCGTGGCCCGAAGTCCAGGCAAAGTGGGGCGGCATAAAAGGTTTCGAGCAGAATTGTTTCCGGGCAGCTTACGTGGTGATGCTGCTGAGGGAGGGGCTGGGGATAAAGGACGAGCAGGTGGATCTGGGGGAGGGTGTATCTGGGCAGGTGTCTTGGACTCTCGGTGCTGCTCTGTATGAAGGGGTGCCTGCTGTTGCTGCTCTTGCTTCCTCCTCCTCCGTTGCTTCTGCTGCTGCTGCTGCTTCTTCTACTGATATTATCAATGGTGCTGCGACCTTTGCCGGTTCTTCTGCTGGTGCTGCTGCTGCTGCTGCTGCTGCTGCTATGGCTGCTGCTACGGCTGCTGCTAGTGCTAATAGCAGTACTGGGCAGGTGGTATGGAAGCTTGGGGATGCAGGCTCGGAACCTGGTTTGGTGGCAGGCTTGGGGGATGCGGCAGATGAAGAGTCTGAAGAGGCACGGAGGGAGGAAGGGGATGTGACAAACGCAAACAGTGGTTTCGACACCACCACCACCACCAGTAGCAGCAGCAGCGGCTTCAGCACCAGCAGCAGCAGCAGTAGCAGCAGCGTAGGTAGCAGCAGCAGGGGAGGTTGGTGGTGGTGGGTTGGGGGAGGAGAGACCGTAACCGCCACGGGCAAACCACAGCCACATCGCCGTTTCTTAGGAGGCTTCCCTGCAGCTTCCTCCGCCTCCACTCTTCTTTCCACGGGAAAAGCAACCACAGCGGAAGCAGGAATGAGAGTGAGCACCGCGGATACGACCAGCGAGAGAGAGGGAAAAGGAGACACAGACACAGACAGGGACAGAGACAGTAGCAGCAGCAGCACCACCAGCTTCCTCCTGCTCTCCCTCGTTGTTTTCTCCGTCGCTCTTGCGCTCACAGCAGCGCACAGGAGAGGCAAGCGAGGAGGCAGACTCGCAGCAGGCATGGGGGGCATGGGAGGCATGGGGAGTATGGGAGGGGGGGGCGCTACCACTGGTGGGGGCATGCGGTGGGTGCAGCAGCTGGTCAGGGCCCTCTTTCCTCCTCGTCTTTCTCTCCAAAGGCGACAAGCCATGAGGCCTTCTCCCTCCAAGTCTCGCTCTGGTGAGGTCCGTAGTCACCACTCCTTCCCTTCCCTCCCTTCCCTCCCTTCCCTCCCTTCCCTCCCTCCCTTCTTGCTTTCCATTTTTGAGGCGCCTCAAGAATGTTGCCCCTCCAAATCTCGCTCTGGTGAGGTCTGTAGACGCCTCTCCTTCCCTCCCTCCCTTTTCTTCCTACTTTCCAAAGTCTACGCGCAGCTCTCCCTCCCTTCCTGCTCGCTCTCTTGCTTTCCTCGCTCTGGTGGGGTCTGTAGTCGCCTCTCCCTTTCCCTCCCTTACCCGCTTTCCATTCTCAAGGCGCCTCAAAAATGTTCGCCCTGCTTTCCTCGCTCTGGTTAGGTCCGTGCTCACCACTCCCTCCCTTCTCCGCTTCCTTTCCTCCCTTTCTCACCTGTTTGATTCGATTGTCCTCTGGTGATGACAAACCCACTCATCCAGCCCTCCCTTCTCCTTCTCCACTCTTGCCTCTTTCTTCTTGTAACCATGTAACACCACTTCTCTCATTTGCTCTTTCCGTTCTTGCCTCTCTGCCCGTCCCATGCCCCCCTTCCCTCCGCTCCCTATAGGTGCTTGGTTCCTCTCTCCCTATAGGTGCTTGGTTCCTCTCTCCCTATAGGTGCTTGGTTCCTCTCTCCCTATAGGTGCTTGGTTCCTCTCTCCCTATAGGTGCTTGGTTCCTCTCTCCCTATAGGTGCTTGGTTCCTCTCTCCCTATAGGTGCTTGGTTCCTCTCTCCCTATAGGTGCTTGGTTCCTCTCTCCCTATAGGTGCTTGGTTCCTCTCTCCCTATAGGTGCTTGGTTCCTCTCTCCCTATAGGTGCTTGGTTCCTCTCTCCCTATAGGTGCTTGGTTCCTCTCTCCCTATAGGTGCTTGGTTCCTCTCTCCCTATAGGTGCTTGGTTCCTCTCTCCCTATAGGTGCTTGGTTCCTCTCTCCCTATAGGTGCTTGGTTCCTCTCTCCCTATAGGTGCTTGGTTCCTCTCTCTCTATAGGTGCTTGGTTCCTCTCTCCCTATAGGTGCTTGGTTCCTCTCTCCCTATAGGTTCTTGGTTCCTCCCCTTGCCTCGGCTCCCCCGCTTCCTACATGTTTGAAGAAGTGTTTTGAGACGTCTCAAAACCGTCCCGTGCCCCCCTTCCCTCTCTCCCTATAGGTTCTTGGTTCCTCCCCTTTTCTCAGGTCCCCCGCTTCCTCCTCGTGTGATGAGTCGACTTTTGATTCGACTCAAAAATCGACTCCCTATAGGTCGACTCAAACATCGATTCCCTATAGGTGCTTGGTTCCTCCCCTTTCCACGGGTTCCCCGCTTCCTCCTCTTCCTCTTCCCCCCCTTGTTTCGAGTCGACTCAAAACAATTTCCTTCTCCCACCCTCCATCTCATTCCCTGTCGCATCCGCCCCTTCCCTCTCTCCCTCCAGGTGCTTGGTTCCTCCCCTTTCCTCGGGTTCCCCGCTTCCTCCTCTTCCTCTTCCCCCCCTTCCTCCGTCCCTCGCGTACCTCTCAACCTCCCCCACTCCTTCCTACTTCCCTTAGGCCGGGCAACATAACCCTTGGGGCCCCCACCGGCAGCGGCAGCAGCAGCAGCAGTACTAGAGGCAGCGGAAGCAGCGGCGGCGGCAGCGTCAGCGGGGGAGTCAGCAGTGCTAGCGGTAGTACCAGCAGCATCAGTGGCAGCATCACCGGCAGCAGGAGAGAGGGGTTGGTGCAGGGGGGATTGACTCCCAAGCGGTCTGCTTCATCGGTGCAGCGAATGAGGCCCAGTAGAAAGAGCTCGTCCAGCCTTGACTTATCTTCCACATGATGTGACATCGAGATGACTTATGAGATTACTTTTGAATCAACTAAAAAGTCAAAGAGCTCGTCCAGCCTTGACCTATCGTCCACATGATGCGACATCAGGGGAATTTGTGCGAGCGATGGTGGCACGAGCGGGGGGTTGGTGCAGGGGGGCTTGACTCCCAAGCGGTCTGCTTCGTCGGTGCCGAGAACGAGACCCAGCAGAAAGATCTCTTCCCCTTGACCTATTCTCCACATGATGCTATGCGCAATTACGCTGTCAACTACAGTCAATTACACTCTGAAGCGTACAGGTGCAGTCGCATCTAGCCCGTGTAATCACATTTAGCGTATACATCCGGTACAATCACAGCAAGTGCGTACTGTTGGGAACAAATAGCCTTAAGCGCCTCTGTCGTGTCGAAACTTCAAGACACAAGCGAAGCAGCGCAAATCGAAGCACCAGCGAGTCAACCCTCGGAGGTTGATGTAACCGCTGGAGGTTACGCGAAAGTCAAAGGTCAGCGACCTTTGACCTGACAAATGCAGCGCGACAGCAAGGACACACAACTGACTCGACATTGAGCAGTTGCCCGAGTCGCACTGTATCGAACCGCAACAGTAAAGTAGTTACAATTATGTCTCTTCATATTCTCTGTACGTATATATATTCTTGTATCTCTTTGCTTTAATCAACTTACTTTGCCCTCACATACTAGCGCAAGGTGGTTCAAGGACTTCACTCAAAAACGCTTCTGCTACTACATCGTTTACTCAGACTTTAACTCTACCAAAGATCCTAGGGCGTTCAGCCCAACATGGTATGAGAGCTGGTTAGAGTTAAAAATTTCTCTTTTCTTCAATACCTAATACACCAATAAGACATGTCTACTAGAAACGAGAGGAGCTCCTCCAACGGCTCTCCCGGCACTACCCCTACTCCACCTCCTGCCTCTGGCCTACAGACAGAGGAAGGGACAACAACGAGACCAGCAGCTGGGTCTACTGAAACTCCCGCAAACCAAGGCGCGGGCTTTGATCCAAGCATGATGGAGAAATTTTTCTCCTTCATGTCCTTCTACGAGCAGCATCAGCAAGGAGGACCTGCGCAATCACACAACAGCAACAACAACGGAGCAACACCCATGAGTCTCGACGGCTCATCATATGCACGGGGAAACCAGCAACAACAACCTACCTTTGCTCCATACGAGCGCGGATCCATCAGCTTCATGCCACAACCACAGCCCTCACCTGGACAAGAAAAACAATTGGATGCACTGCAAGTTCAGTCGCAGTTCGCACATGTCCTGAAGATGCAGATGTCAAGACCTTTCGACGGAAAGGTTTTCTTCACCTGGTCGTTCGAGTTTGAACTGATGATGGAAGGCGCGCAGATACTCGGATTCTTCGACGGGACCCTGCCATATCCAACAAACGGCACACAGTATGAGAAGCAGCAGTACACCTATCAGTCAATGATGGCATACACGATCCTACTGAGAAACATCACCCCGACTCAACAGCAGAACATAAGGACTTACCGAGGTTACTGTAACTCCACGGAGCTCGCGTACAACCACCTGAAAAGCCTGTATCAAGCAACAGACAGTGTAAGTCAAAGTCGGTTAATGGCGCAACTGACAACAGTCGAAATGAAACCAGGAGAGAAAGGACTGGCGTATATCAGTCGATGTCGCGAATTGCACGACAAGCTTCTTCGATGCGGAGGGTCAATCTCTGAAGACGCCTTCGTGACAGTCATCATCGGCGGCCTCGGTCCTCAATGGCGCGCAACAAAGGCCATCCTCCGAGCTCACGGGAGAATCTCCGAAGCAACACTCTGCGCCGAAATCCATGCTGAGCAGCAAGACATGGACCTGCAAGAACGACAGAAAAGAAGACGTTAGCACCAGAGTTCGCGTTTCACACCCAGCGACGCTACAACAACAACAACAATCGGCAGCAACAACTGAAGCCAGTACCTCCGTTTTGTCACATCTGCAAAACTTCAGGGCATCCTCGTACGCACTGCCCGTATCGTCAGCAATCGACAACACCACAGCGACAACTTCGGCCTTCAAGTACCCAAGTCACTTCAACGCAAGCAAATCCCGCGACAAAGATTCAAGCTTCAACGACTCCAACAGGACAACCTGCACAAGGAGCAAGAAACATCGTCAACTGCATGGCAAAGATAACAGATTCGTGCATCACCGAGTCACCACCGCACTACTCACCAGAAGAACGACTCGACGAAACCACACCTCGCCGCGAGTCACTTCAGCCGAACCCGACATACGCCGCCATCGCCCAAAGTGAGCCATCCGGAAGAGACACTTGGTTCTTGGACAGTTGCTGCGGACAACACATGTGCTCCTCAGGACGTTTCGTTCAACGCGAGCACCAACTACAACGAGAAGTCGTCATCACCGTCGCCAATAATCAAAACCTGCGCACAAGACGACAAGGCATAGTGCAACTTCAGTCACGGGAGACAAACGTCGTCTTACAAATGTCAAAGGTCCTGATAGCAGAGGGACTCGGCTACAACTTACTGAGCGTCAGCCAGCTGATGTCCAAGGGTATTCATCTCGAAGCAGACAGTACCACTCAAGAATTCAAGTTGTACCATGAGAGAGGAGGCCTCTACATCGGTAAAGCGATCCTCAAGAACAACGTCTTCGTTCTTGACTTCGTTCCCGACCTTGGAACTGCCGTCAGCGACGCCATCGTAAACTTTACCGACTGGACACATCCTCCGGATCTCGACCTCGACTTCAGCCCGGAAGGCTTCTGGTACTCGCATACCATCCCTGAAGCAGAACAAACACGTGCGTTAGTAACGATACAAACATCGGCAGGCAGCAGAGACAACATCGGCAGCAGCAGAGACAACATCGGCAGCAGCAGAGACAACATCGGCAGCAGCTGAAACAACATCGGCAGCAACAGAGACAACATCATCAGCAGCAGAGACAACATCGGCAGCAGCAGAGACAACATCGGCAGCAGCAAAAACATCGTCAGCAGCAGCAAGAACAACGACACCAGTCCTCATTGACGAAGCACTACCAACACCCGCACAGCAGCTGAATCCAACTCAACGAGAAGTCCACAGAAGCGCAAACTTCGTCGCCAGCTTCTACTCCAACTTCGACGCGTATCGACGCTCACCCGGACACCGCGCCTCCGAAGACATCTGGCACGCACGCATGGGACATTCAAGCAACACTGTGTTAAACAACACAATAAGAGCAGGAGTCCTTGACAAGGACTCATTACTACTACCCGACGGCAGAGAACTTCAACGGGCACGAGGAACTTGCCTTACCTGCCCCGAAGCCGACTTACCACACCGACTGTTCACTCCTCATCACAACCCGAGCGCACCCGTGTACGCACCACTCGAGAAAGTGTACAGCGATATCCTCTTCAATCGAGAACCAGGACAAGTTACATATAACTACACGATCACCTTCATCGACGCCGCCACTTGATACGTCTGGCACCTAAACCTACCCAGCCGCGACATGGCACTCGCAGCCTTCGCTGCCTGGCTACCAGTAGCAGAGAGAGAGTCGGGAGCACAACTTAAAAGCTTCCAGTCAGACGGAGGAGGAGAATACACCTCTCAACGATTCAATCAGTACCTGGCGGAAAGAGGAATCAAGCAGCTCCTCTCCCTTCCCTACGCCCATCAGCAGCAAGGTGTCGCAGAAAGAATGAACAGGACTCTGCAGAACAGCATGCGCAAACTGTTACGTGGCATGTGGCCTGCAGCAATGGACCACGCTGTCATGCTGCACAACTTGATGTCGTCGTCCTCACTTCCGAACAACGCATCACCGCATCTGCTGTGGACAGGGAAGCAGGGCAGCACAAAAATGTTACGAGTTTTCGGGTGCATGGTACAGTACCGACCCCCAGAAGCACGAGCGGGAAAATTTTCACAACGCGCACAGTGGGGACTACACCTCGGCATCGAAAAGAATTACAACGCGTGGAAAATCTTCAACGTCTACTCCAAGGAAACAGTAGCAGCACGTGACGTAATCTTCTACGAACGACTCACACTTCAGACGTACCTTGCCAACATGCACGAAAATCAAGATCCCAGAGGTGGCTTTCGTGGTGACCGAGCCTTCGCCTCAACAGCGGACGAAGCAGACTGGGACGAGCAGAATGTGGATAACGCATCAGAAGAAGCCGGGCCTCTCCCGTTCTGCTCCGTCAACGTCCCCATGGACGAAGAAAACCCTCGTGAAAGCGCCAACGCCGAAGTCTTCTACCACTTCGCCGACAATGGTTACGTAACACCTGCGACAGTCAACACCAACGAAGCAGAACGGATAGGGCCGAATTTCATACCCGACC